TTGCACTTTGGTTAATTATTGTGCTTAGAAGACAAGATTTTGAGTATTTGGGAGGTTTTTCTTTGTATTTTTTGTTTTCTTGAAATATATAACTTCAGATTCTTCTCAATAAAGCTGTATGTTTGATTGAGCAAATTCCAAAATCCTTCTTTTAAATTCGACCCAGCAAATTGAATTCCTCTGTATCGGCCAAATTTTGAGTTTGCTCGATTATTTAATGCAAGACAGGGACAATTTAGGAAAAGGAGATAGATTTACATCCTCTGGTTCAAGTGATGCCAGAGATCAGAGAGTACAATGGCAAACCACTGTCTTATGTAACCGGCGGCGAAGAGGAAGAGCTAGGCTGCAAGCTCTTCAAGAAGTACGAGCTGGGAAAGCTCCTGGGTTATGGCGCCTTCGCCAAGGTGTACCACGCGCGGGACTTACGCACTGGCGAGAGCGTGGCCATTAAGGTAATGAGCAAGCAGAGGATCCTCAAAAAGAACCTCACCGCACACATTAAGAGGGAGATTTCTATATTGCGCCAGCTGCGCCACCCCCATATCGTGCGCCTCCATGAGGTCATGGCCACCAAGACCAAAATCTACTTCGTCCTAGAATTCGCCAAGGGCGGTGAATTGTTCGGGAAAATCGCGAAAGGCCGATTCAGCGAGAACCTCAGCCGCAAATATTTCCAGCAGTTAATATCAGCCGTGGAGTACTGCCACTCCCGCGGCGTTTTTCACCGCGATTTGAAGCCGGAAAACCTATTACTTGACGATGACTGGGAACTCAAAATCACGGATTTCGGACTATCCGCTGTATCGGAACAGATCCAACCCGACGGCCTCCTCCACACACTCTGCGGAACCCCCGCCTACGTGGCGCCGGAAATACTCGCAAAGAAGGGCTACGACGGCGCAAAAGTCGACATCTGGTCATGCGGAATCATACTGTATGTATTAAATGCGGGTTACTTGCCATTCAACGACCCGAATTTGATGGTGATGTATAGGAAAATCTGCAAAGGACAATTCCGGTGCCCCAAATGGACATCTCCGGAGCTAAAGCGGTTCTTAACCCGTATCCTGGACCCGAACCCGAACACCCGCATTACCATTCAAGAAATGATCAATGACCCGTGGTTCAGAAACGGGTACGAGGAGATTAAATACCCAACCGACAATGAATTTGAATTCAAGAATTCCAGCGAAGGGGAGGAGAAGGGTTTTCTGAATGCCTTTGATATAATCTCATTTTCTTCCCGTCTCGATCTGTCCAGTTTGTTCAGTAACAAAGGGAATCGAATTGATGGTGAAACGTTTATCTCAAAAGAGCCACCCGAGAGAATAATTGAGAAAATTGAGGCGGTGGCGAAAGAGGAAGAACTGGTAGTGGCAAAGAAGGGATTAGGCGTGAGACTGCAGGGGCAAAATGGGAATTTTATGGTGGTTGTTGAGATTAACCGGTTAACGGAAGAGCTGGTGGTGGTGGAGATGAAAAGCCGTGGATTTGGACGTGATATATGGATAAAGAAATTCAAGCCACTACTCAATTCTTCACCGGGACACGTAGCCGGTGACTGAAAAGTGATTGCAATTTCACGTGGGAACAAAGGACAGCAATTGTGCCATATTTTTAAACAATTGACCGCTTTTTTGTAGTGTTACATTTTATCTTTGTCCGTTGTTAAGAAAATCGTACATGGTACAATTATAACTTTATAAGAATCTCTGACAAAGATTAGGGAAACAATTTTCCCGTCAAAAAACTATTTGCCCGGTTTGTTTTTCATTTTTTCTCTATTAAAATAAAAGATATGATTGTTATTCATCACATCAAATCATCAAATTTAAATTTTTATTTCTTGTGTAAGATCCATAATAATTATATTTTTCATTCTTATTTTTGCAAAAATGAAAAACAAACGTCCCCTTGGTATGAAATGAGAAAAATAAAAAAGAAAATATAAGTCAATAAATTTGTGTGTATTATAAAGCATATATATTTTATAAAGGAAATTATAAAAAAAATATTTATTTTGACATAATCATTTATAAAAGTGTTCAAAATTTTTCAATGTTCATTTTTGTAATTATTTGAATGAGAGTATCCCTAAATAGTTTCTATGAGAAGTTATATTAAAATGATATTTTCGATATTTTAAATATCGTTCTCAGTATTTGAATTCGTTTATATTTCAAAAATATATGCATCAAATCATAATATTAAATGTTCTTGACATTTCAAACGTTGTTCTCGACATATTAAATGTCTGGAATGACATTTCTTTACACTTTAAATATTATTATCGACATTTCTGTGTCTAGCATTAATTGTGATTTGACGTATGCAATATAAAATTATTTATTCTTTCACTAAGGATAAAATAAATATTTGATATCAAATTTGGCCATTTTTTAAAAGATTATCAAAAGTGGACTTTTTTAATCGACATATGTAAAATTTGACATTTTTGCAAATGCCCTAACTTTATAGTTATAGGGTCCAAAATAAGAATTACAATTAGAATAAAATATATAAAATCTAAAGCTCCGTCTGGCCCTCATTAAATTATATTACATTACATTTCATTTTTCTCTCTTATTTTCAACTACATAATTTTTCATAAAATAATATTACATGTAAATCGAAAACTTTTCATTCTTTTTAATCACTCATTTTTCAAAAAAACACTATTTCATTCGTTTTCATTTCCAAAAAATGAGGGCTAAACTAGGTGAGACTTATCTAATATCATGATAATACTAAATAATCGTTGATAATTATCTCATTATTTTACAGCACTTCCCATTTTATGATAACTATCTCATTGAAACCTTGTTTGCCAAAAAATTTGATGGGGCAAAAATGTCAACAAATAAAAAAAAGAGTACAAATAATTTTAAGTAATAAATACTTCCTCGTTAAAAGCTTACCAAGAAAATTCAATGGGACAAAACATGATCGAAGAAAAAAGAGTAGAACTGCTTCCCTAATTTAATTCTTGTATCAAGCTATCCATATCTCGTATATCAGTGTCTTCAATATTACAATTTTTAACAAAGTATGTTTCATGTTCATGTTGTCTTGTATAATTTTCAAATAACACCATCCGTCTTCAAAAGAGATATTTATCGTCATTTAAAGATTTTAGTAATATGATGATTAAAAAAAAATAACTCTTGTTAAAACCTTATTAAGGACATTATTGCATAAAGAAAACGTCTCACTAAAATCTTTTTAAGAAAAAGCCGTGAGAAAATCCTAATGAAGGAAAAAGAATACATTATTCTTTTGAGTATTGTATAAAAATTGTTTCATTAAAAATCTTGTCAAGAAAATTGAATAAGACAAAATATTGGTCAAGGGAAAAAGAGTACAATGCGTATTTACCCTTTCTCATACAATATCACTTGAATTATACTTTAGATATATTAAATCCTTTCAAAATAGTATCAAAACTATATAAGATAATTGGCTATAATCACATTTATTACACAAAGCATCAAATTTTATGCATTGTCACGCTAATGAAATCGAGACTGTGATTACATCGATCACATGATAACTTATTTATTTATACAAGTCTTCGCAACATTTATTATGTAAAAGGGTCGTACATTTTGTATTACGATTTTATTTTATTTTTTCATTTTCATTTCGCATAAGTATACACTTTTTGATGTTCGGAGCGTAAATCTAAAAATTTCAGGTGTTTCTTGTAAATTCAATTTAGTATGATCATATCATTTCATTTGATCAATCATTACTTCGATTGATGACAAATTTATTTCAAAATCCTCGATATTTATAATATGATTCAGTATATCACGTGCAAGAATATCGTTGACAATTTTTTCTTTCGATTCTATTTCTTTTCTAGATATAACTTATTGAGATATCTCAATTTTCAACATATCAAGTACATTAACTTCTTTCAGAATTTAGTATTTTGTTATATCTTTACTTATAAAAAATATATGCATCCTTAATGAGATTATCTTTACTGATTGCTTCATTTTCGTTTGAAGATTTTTTATATTAGAATCGAATACCATTACACTTTAAATGTATTATAAATATATCAAATATAATACTAACAAAATGTCCTCCTAGGATATCAATTCGTGTTGGAGCAATTTAAACTAGTGCGTAAGATATTGTTGATCTCATTGGTCAATAAATGCATCTAAACAAAATTTTTTTTCGAACTTCTAGTTCAAGTGATCTTTTGCGAGGATTTAAATAATGATGCATTTGTACATTATTTTTAATTTCTTAATTCCCTCCAAAATGTTAAGAGAATCGTTCAATCAAATTGACAATCATTTTTCGAGTGTCATAAAATATCACGCATTTGGGATAAATGTTCAAACTACGCATTTATTCTCAATATTCTTTACTTTTGACCTCAATGAAGTGTGATTGATCAATTTTACATATACTGCACTATCAAAATAATTAGATGAAAAAAATAAGATCTGATTATTAGCCAATTATAATAGGAAAAACTGTAATATTGACACGACGCGTGATATAATTTCGTAAACAAAAAATGGAAAATCCTCTGTTCTCAACAAAAAAAAAAGCACGAAACCCACCAACATCTATTCTCATACAGTCTTGACAACCAGGTATTATCATGCAAATCATATGTGTCGATCATTACCCTCTAACCTTCTTCAAAATCTTGAACAAATTGTGAATCATAAACCAAATTGTGAGTAGTACAGAAAATCAAACCCTTATCAACATAGTATCCAAACTTTTTTGGTAACTTTTTCAGTATGTACGACAAACATCATCTATGCTTCATATAAGGGAACACGATTTCAATTGCATTTTGTACAGCTTTGTCTTGATCTGTAATTAAACCCTAAGGAACTTCGACGTGCATACACTGCAGCCAAGTCCTAAACAACCAAACAAATGTATCTGTATTCTTATTTGACACAAGTCCACACCGAGCAGGGTCGATTATCCGTGATGATTAATATCAACAAATGGGGCAAACGACATATCATACTTAGTGGTGAGGTATGTGATATCAAATGTTTCAATATCACCAAACTCCTTATAAGTCTGTCTACTCCTATTATCTACCCAAAACACATTTTTTAACCTCGAATCTTCATCCAAATCCATATTAAAATAAAAATTGGAGCAACTAGCTTGCACTTTCGAAAAGTAGGATTGTATTGTTATTGCTTCTCCTTCTCCTTCTCCTTCTCCAAGTCTAAGACACGGAACTTGTTCAACATAGTTTCGACAATCCTTTTCCATACATGTTATATTTTCGTATCCACCTGCTTCGACTACTGCAGAGTTGAAACTTTTATGTAATGGAACTCCTGCCATATCATTCACTTCCAGGCGCCATTTAACATGTGCGCTCAACTCTCGATTGCATCAATATAACCGGGATTTTGATGGAATTGTTTTATGATTACGCTCGAGGTTTACTGCGTTAATTCTCCAAATTCCACGACTATCCATAGATGCAATCAGGCTTGCTTTACAACCTGTCTGAATGGTTGGTTGCAGTTTCAAAGAACCACTTGTAGTACTGCTTCTTTTTCCTTCTCGACTACATGTCAATGTGACATATCTCACAATACCGTCGTTGTCCTTTTTTGAATTTCTTTTTTTGACTGGAAAACCTTCGGCATATGCATATTTTTTGTAGTAATCAAACAATTCATTTTCATTGTTGAACTCCATATCGACCTCGGGCGCTTGCAAAGGTGCATCATCTCTTACTACAACGTCATCACCCAACAAGTTCACATTCTCGGCAACACTCTCAGACTTAGATTCTACCAAAATAAAGTCATCCCCATTGTCCAAGATATCTTTCCCTACAACATAAAAGCAGTTACAATGTTAATGGTAATGGTGTAAAGTAATCAGTAATTGATATAAGATACTCATTCCAAGTTATATGAAACATTTGAGAGGAGGAAAATATTGTTGTCGGGTCAAATTGATTGCTGCCATTTTCTTGGAATACCATAAACATTAATGAATTGGAAAATTGATTTTTTTTTCTCAATAAATGTAAACTTTCAGCAACTCCCAACACATCTTTTTAGAGAAGAAAAATATTTTTGCCGGTTTAAATTGATTGCTATCATTTTCTTGGAATACAATAAACATCAATGAACAAGAAAAATGATTTTTTCACTATAAAAGTAAA